GCGGGGTTCGAACCCACGAACTCTCGGACAAGGGCCCAGCGCCCTACCAACCAGGCTATCCTGGCCCAAGTGAGCCAAGTCAGATCACAAAATGGTGTGGTAACATAACTGCCTCATGATACCAAGGAAAAATTTCAAAGATCATATGATGAAAGATGCATCACTAGGTCTTCCAATCCAAGTGGTTGGTCAATCTCCAATCATATTTTAAAGCATGCAAAACTGCCCTCTGAATTAGCTCATAATTTTACTCATAGATAACCATGATAGTAACCTTACCATTAATGCCATCTTTGATTAATAAAAATAGATTTATTTATCACTTGACCTCATTGCTTCTAATGCATTGAGGTTTTATACTCAGTATTCTAAGGACTATTGTAAAGGTTTTCATTTAATTATTTATTTTTAACCAAACTTTTATTTCGTGGAATAAATACACTGAGATAATTGAATACAAAGCTAATGTGAAACGCATAAATATTTAAAACCTTTGATGCTATTACAGAGCAAAACAAATTTTTGGATTTCAAAAAGCTTTCCTTCATTGGATAGATGAAAGTGACATAGTACTTTATAAACCCATATATTTAGCTTTCCTTCCACTAAATATCTTATTTCTGTTATCTTATTTTTATACATATATTACATCGCTGAAAAGTTAAAAATATGCTAAATATGTATCTAATCAAGAAATCTGAAAATGTATTAATGCTAAACATTCTTGAGATTTTTGCCACACTTATAAATTTTGAACTGCAAAGATTGTTCTTAATGTTTGTTGTAATTTGGTTAGTAAATTTAGCCATTTTCATAATCAAAGACAGCATTTGAATTTGAATAAACAGATTCTCAATTTTTGTCTTCTACTAAAAAACTTGTTTTGGTGATTTTATTTCCAACAATTAAGTTGTTGTAGATTTAATTTATTTACGTCGCACTAGAGCTGTACAATGGTCTATTAATGAACTATAAAGAAATGTTTATAGCAGGTTAAATTTCAATAAAGAAAGACGACTTAGTTTGGTAAAACTACTATTAAACTACTTAGTTTGGTAAAAACTTGTTAAAAGTAAAAATTATACTAATCAAGATCTGTAAAACGTCTCACTTTCCCTACTTTCTTTTATTCAATAGCACTAATTTGCTCTTAATAAAAAATGGCAATACAAATATAAAATAAAAAATTTACATACAATTTTTAGTATGACCCTCCATAACTACAACCCTTTCATTATATCGATCGATACACGTATACAATACCACTCTGGCTATTCCTTATACAAATGATTTACTATTGCTATTGCATACACTAAAGATATCATTATAATGTTTGAACTGAACAATTCAATATACTGACTGAAATTTTCTTAATAATTTTTATTCCAGGAAAATCACTTTTGAAAAAAAGGTGTTATTGTCAAAAAATTCCCCATTGTAATTGAATTAATGAGGATAGCAAAAGTCAGGAGGATATTATTAAATATACTATTGCTTTTGATGTTACTACTTAATTAACATCTCGAATTCTCTATAATGAAGAAGTAGTGACAGAACCGTCCATTCGGTGATTCTAGGCGAAATGCATGGTTATAAAGATTGTGAAATATGTATTACTTTTCATTATTGAGAAGTGTATATTGCATCAACTTGTGAAAATCAAAGTCTTCAATATGCATTCATAACTTTGGTAAATTTCGTTACACGGATAATAAATTATCAATTATATCTGTGTAATAATATATAATTTATATACAATTGATAATAAATTTATCAAATATATTTTTCTTGTTTGAAAATTAAATCACTGTTATGGTGCAGAGATGCAGTACAGAATTTATTTTGAAGTTCAAAGTAATGGTATTCACATTCATGATTTTATTTTTGCTTAGAATTCAGTTCTCCGAAGGAAGGTTACTCAGCATAAATTACTACTCATAGTCAACATAGCACCATATATTTAACATATTTGAAGGAAGTGAATAAAAGGATAGCATATTATTTAACAACCTCATGTTATAACAACCATTTTCGTTCGACGCACAAAGATCGTTACATTGAGCGCCAATGGTATACACATTTGAGGTATGACTTTACTTACTAATTTTACCACGGAAAAATTACATTTACCTGGCTTTACAGTTTGAGGTTATTTTCTATTATATTAATTTGCTTGTTTTGTTATGATTTATATAACACAAAAAATACCTACTATATATGATCTAAACAATACAATGTAATAAAGAATGACAAAATATTTATACGAGTTATAATATAGATTAGATTAGTATGGTCAAAGCTATCAAGTCTTGTTTCAAATAAGTTAAAATCAATATTATTTCTATGCAAAAGCTATGGAAAAGTTGGAAGCTATAACAAAGTTTGAATGCAAAATTGATGATGCTCAAGAACATAATATATTTTCGTCAACGTTAGAGGTATTCTAAATATTATACATTTTTATGAAATAAATTGAAGATTATAATACCTTCTTGGTGGAGTAGGTATAATTTTGACTTTCAGTGGCAGTTTAATATGGGAGCGCCTATTTTCTGTTTCCCCTTCCTGAAATAGAGTTAAAAAAAACTTACAAATACAAAACCATCAAAAACAACTATAAATTATACAAAAGGCTAGTTGATAGCAGATGCCTGATAAACAAATCAAAGTAAAAAGAAATTTCTGCCACATTCTGCTTTGGTAAAGAAGCTTTTATTCTCATAAAATATCGAAATTAGTCACAAAGTTTGCTAATAGATGCAGTTGCAGACTGGAAAAACCATACAACTTTTTTGTTGCATGAAAGACCATTCCAACTGGAATATTTGCATAGGTGTCTGTTTATTTTATCCTCAGATTAAAATAAGTGGCTATTTTTAAAAACACGGCTTAACAATTTTCTCAGTTAATGCACTATCTGTAGTCTAGCTTTGTAACTAATTTTGATACAGCAACCCATACATTTCTATCAAAAAATACTTTAGCCATTTTACGAGGAAACCCTTAAACAAGGAAAATAAAACAAAAATGTTTTTGAAGTTAGTTTCAGTAGATTGAACTAAGGAATATGTCCACTTAAATAAAAATAAAATTATTTAAACATCACATTTAAAGTTTAGCGTACATGCGCAGAGATGCAACAAAATTATTCTAAAGATCAAACCACTGATCAGAATTAAGTCTTAAATTGATCATGAAGATACGTAAAATATAAATAGTTAATTCGTTCCAAAATGAACATTAGACTATACTTAACTATTTTCGATATTGAATTGCTCTATTTGGTTTAACTGAGCCAAAAAATAATTTTTCCCTTAAATTTTTTTTTAAATAAAATGAATGAGTAATTTTCTTTGCCCTTAAATCATATTGAATAAAAACAATCAAAAAACATTGTTCAAGTTTTCATCTAAAAATGTTGAAAATTTTTTCAAAGGCTAGGACAACGATTTCAGAAGACGATTTCAAACACTAAAGCATCAAAAAGGATTATTTTTTTTAAATTAAATTTGAATTTTGGATAATGGATGCAAAACATTATAATTATATAAAATGTTTGCCATATATTTTCTTATACATTTCTATATATTTTCTAATACATTTTAACTTAAAGAAAAATAATTCTTCATACCAGGTCAAGTCATCTACAGGTCTATCTACATGAAATGTGCAAAATTTAAATTAGATTAACTCATCTGATTTTGAGAAATAGCATCCACCAACTTCGAAAATAAAATTATTATTTTGTTTCTATTTTCATTCTAGCAGGTTGAGCCTTAAGGAAAGAGACTTGACCTACCATTCCTTCTCAAAAAAACTTATCCTTGAAAATAAACTAAGAAAAATTTTATTTTCTTCCTCATATATTTTATTCAGTTGAACAAAAAGAAGAAAAAAAATTTTCTAAAACTTTTATTTACATCAGCAGAGCATAAGTATGGATATGTAAAAAACTAAATAAATTGCATATTTATGGTCAAAAATATCATCACACGTTTTGAAAACAAACACAATTTTCATTTTTTTCTGTTTACATGCTAAGAATTTAATGAGAGTTTATTTCTTCATTGATTTCTTCCCATAGCATTTCAAATGAATTGATGAGTAAATATACAAAATAAATTCAATAAGGTATAAATTCATAAATTGATACAATAAGGTATACAAAATAAATTCTGATTATAATCTAGAATTTAATTAAAATAATGATTAAACATAAAGCCCTGGGAGCAGCAGGGCCGGTGGAAGATGAGGGCGATTGTCCGGAGCGCTGGACTATGGGGTTGGCGAATAAGACCGAAATTTAAAGTTCTTAAAATTTTTTATTTCCTCCTGTTTTTTTTTTAAAAAAAATATTAAGTCTAAGTGGCGTAGAGCATAGAGTGCTCACCTTTCAATGAGGTAATCCTAGCTCGATTCCCAGCACTGGCTGGTCGATACAAATTCTACTTGCCTGGCTCGAACCGACTAGTGCAGTGTTTCCCAACCTTTTATGTACCACGCCCCACCTAAGCCTTTCTAAAATTCTTATGCCCCCCTATGTAACATATACATAATTTTTAATATTAAAAAATCGAATTGTTCACTCAAGAAACTTAAGATATTGTTAGCGAAACAAAGTAAGAAAATTTTCAGAACATATAATGAAAAACTAAAATTCAAATTCGAAATAATTTTAATAAAGATTTTTCTATAATAATTTAATATTTTAATTTAGTGAGATTCTTGCCCTTGATGCTTGCTGCACGTAGATTTTATCTTAGTTTCCAATTTGGTTAGGTTTAGACTCAAGTCTCCCCATTGTGTTATATCCAGACGATTTCTTTTTTTTTACCAATAAAATCATTTACAGAACTAAGATGGAATCGGTAACAATAGTTTTCTTGCACATTTGATTGAATTTGGGTATTTATTTGTTTTCTGTTTCCTCACAAAGCCATGCCATCACTCCTTTCATATTAAATAAAGTTTTAACTGACTCATAATTTTGCATTTCTNTGAGGATATTTTACGTCAGTATTACGGTCAGTGGGAGCTTCCACAATTCGTATCAACCAGCCGTTGCTGGTATTTGAACCCAGGTCTCCTCATTGGGAGGAGAGAGTTCTATCCCCTGAGCCCCCGCAACATTTAAATCAACATTTAGGATTGATACAGATTTTATAATTTTCTAGTGGAAATATTGTAATTAAAAATACAAGAAATAATTATCAACAGCATTGCCACAACACCAGCAAGACAATTCAAAGAAAGAAAAGTTTTGCTTTTATCTTTAAAAGTCTGATTCCTTTTCCCAGACTAAGTCAAGGGTGTTCCTCTTAGTATCGCCCGGGGGGCAAGAACATCTTCTGCCGGCACTGAAATAGCAGAAACGTGGCAGTATAGAAAAAGGTGTTGCAGATTATCCCAGAAACTGCAGATTATTTTTCATTTTTATTTACTTAAAAAAAGGGAGGACTAAAGAATTGCTGAGAGAAGAAACAGAACAATCCCTTATTTAAGCTTCCTAATTCCTATCAGTTTCAGCTCCTTAATGAAATTTGTTTGTCGATCTGCAGCTAAATAAGCTAACAAAAAAGTTTATGATTTTCAAAATTTTATATCAATTTTCTTAAATAGTTAAAATTAAAATAATTTAAAAAACTAAAAAGTTTTTATAAATATTTCCAAAATCTCTGTTAACTAATTGAATAAAGATTTATTCCATTTTTAAAAGTATTATAGTATAAACTTCATATTGAATCAAAAAAAATGCAAATTTTTTTATGTATAAATCAAATATAATTTTTAGTTTTTGTCTGACTGTGTCATGGTCCCAGTCAAATGTCTCATCTTATTAATACTGTAAATTCTGCTATATATCGACATCTGCTAGGATAATTTTGTGATTCCTATATACAGCTAAATAGTTGGATTCTACAATTGCAATAAATTACTTTACAAAAGCATGTTTTTATATTACTTATTTCATGATAGTTACCTCGGGTGGTGATTCCACTGTGAATGAAATGTGACCTTGAGCAATACCTTCCCAATTAGCGGCCAGAGAAGAAACTGTTATATGCACAGCTATATAACCAGACCAGGGCCATAAAATATCTGAATAGGAGAGTGCTACCTCTAAATGATGGCCATATTGTGGGGTATATGGATGCCACTGGGGCTACAACATAAAAATCAATATATAAAACAATAACATCCTTTTTTCTTTAATTTTAAGTTTTTTTAGTACATAACCTGTAAGAGATATAATAATAATCAGTTTCACCTTGTTTGCAAAATCTTTTATTTTATAAATAAAATCTTTACATTTATCAAATAAAAATTAAAAAGTGTATAATAATTTTTGACCCTCCAAAAGGTAATATAATTAATAAATTATATAAATAATGAACTATTATCAATTTCATTTTACGGTGCTGTCACCTATATGAATATCTGTACCTATATGATGAGACAGATTCAGAAAGCACCATGACTGGTAACATGGCAGACTGATGATGAGTAGCTAGTTTAAATTTTATTTTCTATTTCACACATTTTTTTTTACCTCATTTTATTTATATTAATTTTAATATGGTTAAGATATGGTTCATTATGTTTTTCTTTCTCTTTTCACGGTTGAGAGAAGTTTATTTAAATATTTGAACAATTTTAGTACTAAATAAAGTTTCTTACTCTTAGTATTCTCATAAATTTTTTTTCCTGAGGTTGAATTATAAATAAATTTTAAAAGACAAATTTATTTTTTCACCTAAAATTACATCTATATATAATTAAAAAATTAAGATAATGAAAATAATTTAAAGCAACATAAATATTTTTAAATTTTATACTAATGATAAAAATTTATTATAGGCAAACAAATACAATTAACTTCAGATGATTTGCAGAATAGGTTGTCCTGACATCACAGATAAGCTAATTTTGCAGATGATCTGCAACCTGTCAAAACGTTTCATCTAGGCGAATTTTGTGATAAAGCAGTGAAAAACATTATTGTTTTTGTAACTACATTTTGTCAGCACAAAAAAAAAAGATCCCCAAACATAAAGAAGGATGTAAAATACACAGTTAAAGTATGAAAAAAAATTTTTTTTTAATAATAATCTGCAATTAAAATAAACTTACTCAGATAGAATATAATGTAATAATACTGATAATGTTTAAAACTTTTAATCACTTTAATAGTTACACAGGAACAAAATGAGAAAACATCTTAATTTTTAGACAAACTATGGCTAATCAAGAGTTTACAGCAATTTAATAAATGTTTTTAAAAATAATTCTTTTTTAATTGTTGTATGGAAAAATTAGACTATTTTAACAACAAGAGGAAAAAATTAAATATGAAAATAGTGATAACTAAAAGTGTATAATATAATAATAGTTTTAAAATATATCCTTAAATTTAACTCGAAATTAAAACAGCATTTCTGAAACAATAAAAATAGACGCACTTACTTTTCCGATAATTTTGCCAGATACCCCCATACCATTCAGTATTGTAACCTAAAAATAAAATAAACATGTACATTTTAACTGTTAATTTATATGATATCACTTAAGCATAAAAGAACAACAAAAAAAACTAAATGAATATAAACTTCAAAAAAAAAAATATTTTGTCTAAAATTCGGTGATAGCAAAAGTATATACCTGGTCTAAATCTCGTAAAAAATATTTAAAAAATTGTGTTATGTGAGACAATCAGATTGCAGAATATGACCTACAAATAATTGTGAAGTAAGCAATTTACTTAACCTAATGATAAAATGTATACAAAATGCAAATTCTTAGCCAATAAAAAAAGTCATATTTTTTATTCATATAAAGTAATCAATTTTCTGCAAAATAATTTTTGAAGTGCAAAAAATCATTTTGAGATAGAAATCAAAATGAAATCAGAAATCAACATTTTTCCTCAAAAATTGTGCAATTTATATCTAAAAAAGTTGCAAAATGATGTAAGAGATCTTTAAAAAAAACAATGGAAAACAAATTAATTAATGTAAATATTTTTTTAAGAAAATGTGTAGCATTTAATTAGGTTTCAAATAAGACAAGTAACTTTTGAAATCCCCTAATATATAAAAGATAATATAGAAAAAAATATCCCTTAATATAGAAAAAAATTTCTCTTTCAATCTCTTTAATTGCTAAATAACAGAAATTAATAAGAGATGTATACAATAATAAGGTATAAATGTATAAAATTCTTAGGACAATATAGTGATATGGCACATTTTTTCAAAGGTGACATATTAACAATAAAATATTAATTAGTTTTGTTCCCTGATAGGTAATTTAAAAAAGTTTGATACATAACAGCATATACATATCACCCACATGGAAATTATTGTGTTTTTTCACCAAAAACACTCTCCTCAACCACTTGAAAAAGTGGCTCATCATTACATTGTCCCAAACATTTTCATTGCAATACTTACATTTACAATTGTTGATAGGCCACCATAGTATAAGGGCTGAGAACAATATGGCCACATGTAAGGACATTCTGTAAGGTCTAAGTAGCTTGGACTAAGAGTAGCTTGGGGTCTATAGCTTCTAAGGGCTTGGTAGGCTCTAACAAGATCTAATTTTCCCCAACCTTGTTCAAAGATAGGGACATTGGGTAAACGGCGTGCTGAAGCCATTAGAGCTTGTTTCATACTTGCAGGATTTATAGCCCCTCCTAAGTGTAGAACTCCACTAGAAAAAAAAAACTTCATTGAGGCAACTCAATTTTAGATAAATAGTTTATAAAACATTTCAGTTTGAAAAATAGGTTTAAACAGTTACTGAAGACAGGAAAATGTATAAAAAAAATTAACAAAAAGTAAATGATTAAAACTTAAAATATTATATAAAGTTTAGGTCAGAGTGAATTTTTTAGATTATATATGCACATAGAAAATTACAACAAATAGAAAACAATAAAAAAACACAGATGAAATGTATAAATTTCATAACTAACTCAAACAAATTCTTTTGTTATATACATTCATCACCACACATTTTCATTCACTAATTTCATAACTTCAAGAAAAGATTGTTTTATAAAATTTAAAAACTAAGAGCCTTAAATCATTTGTTCCATAACTTCATCGTTATCCTGCTAGCCTTGTCGCACTTATCTCTTCATAACCCATTAGCTGGCAAGTTCAAATGTGTGGAATTTTACACTATAGTCCTAGTGAGGCTCCCCTAGACTCATTCTTTATTTTGCATTTGAAGATTTACATGAAAAAAATATTAGTCAAGGAACAAGTCAAAAGGTTTCCATTAAAGGTCAACCATGACATCTTTGATGCCTGAAAATCCCGCAAGAAATGATGCACCTATTTTCAAACCTCATTATTGCACTGATCAGATCAATGAATGCTTTTTTTTTTAATCACCTCACTCTTTAGACAAATTCTGAAGTTCAAATTTAGAAAATCGTCAAATTTATTAATACATAAGAAAACATTAATCATTTTTTAAAAATAAAATCATGAATTATTTTAATGTGAAATACTTTAATTAAATAATTATTCCTTTTCATTGGATTGTATAAAGCTCTGATTCACAAAACAAATACCATTCAAAAGTACAAACGCAATTTCATATTAATTGAAAATATTAAAATTGCTTTAAGAGTTTATATTTTTGGGCTCCATAATTTCTAAACCATATCTAGAAAATTAGCTAAAATACATTTCCTTAATAATGCAATGAATATTAGATTTCTAGTACATAAAAATTTTCTCCTCTGATTGATAAGAACTATACACAAAAAAGGCTACTTACTATACCTGAAAGAAATATTTGATAACTTGAATGAAACTAGAAATCTTAATTAAATATGCCACTTTCAGATTAGCCAATTGTTATCAACTTTATTTAAGAATTTACCTCATAAGCAAAGTAACAGCACCAGCAACAACAGGTGAAGCAACACTAGTCCCAGAAAGAGAACGGCAACCTCCTCTAAAAATAAAAATTTATAATAAAAAAATAGCTTTATTTAATAATAAAATGGTGTTTTAATTTTTATCCAATTATTTTTGATAAAAAATGCAAGATATTCAGATGTTTATTTCACTATTTAACTCTTACAACTTATTAAATATAGAGCTTAATGGCAAGAGAAAAATTAATCGAATTTCGTTCCGGTTTTTTGGTTTCCGGATAACGGGTTCTGTACTGTACCTTTAAATAACATTGTTACATATTGTACGTAAATACGTACAATTTTATATACATACGTATATATGCTATTATCGTAAATTTATACAATGTATGTAATTAAGTACATAAAATCATGCAAACGTATAAACATTATTTTCATATACATTCATACATATATTTTCTATGTATGTAAAGATACAAAACATTGTCTTTTCGTACAAACTAACATACATGCGTACTTGTATCATAAATGCATAATTATATGTACAGTAGAACCTCGATTAACCGAACTTCGATTAAACAAGGTTTCTGCTAACCAAGGCAATAACGAAGTCTAAATTTTTCATTTCTCCTCTCCAAAATGAGCTTGGAAGAAATTATACACATATTAGTTCGTTGTCCTTGTTACAGGCACTTATTCACCACAAAAGCACTCAACTTCCATGAAATATTACACCCTGAGAAGACAACATCCATGAATGCTTTGTTAACAGTGGTCATGTGACTTGTAAGTTTAATCATGTAAATTTTAAAAATACAATATTTTCTTGAGATTTGTGTTATTTTTGAAAATGCGTCTTTCGATATTTAACTAAGTATAGTTAAAAAAATTCCATTTTACTTTTTAAAATTTACTACTAGAGTTGATTTCCTTTTTAAATCTTTTTAGCTGTGAAACATAAGTTCATATATGTTAATTTTAATCATTTAAAAAACGGTCTATTGTTTTTTACTTTAAAAGTAGTTAAATTCGCAAGCACGGAAGGTTTTTATACATGGTTCCTAT